TGGCAAATAAATCTTGCTGATTGAACCTGCATGGTCTCCAGGAGTTCTTTGGGCTAGGCCTGACAAATTACTTCTTAATACATGTCTGTATTGGAGGCTATTCAGAATAGTTCTACTTTCTTGCCACTTCTCCCAGCAAATTTAAATACTTAATGTGAAGAAAAGATGGTAGTTGGAAAGGAGCTTAAAGCAGACATAGCAAAAGCGTTGCATGGCCTTAAACCTGATTACGTCGCACAGGTTTATGGAATTATCACTCGCATGCTAGAATTCCTATTGCACAATTAATAGCTGGACCTTCTGACACTAGGGAAATGTGGAATTCCAGTGGAAGATCCATTCTCTGTGGAGGCAGTGCCCACAAACACCTCACTGGAAGGACAGGGCAAAGTGGAAGTGTTTAGTAGCAACCTACAGTAGCTACTCCAGCATCTTGGCCATGGCTCGTAAGCCTACAGTTTGAAAACAAGCATTTTTGTGTAGGAATTTTGATTGATAAAATTTGGGTTCTGACTGCTGGACATTGTAACGTAAGATAAGCAAATACTGGAATTACTTCTCAAAAGATTGTATCCCTAGGATATAATCCTAGCCTAGGGACTTCTACTACATTCTCAGAGTGAAACCAAAGTGTCCTTCATGGGAATCATCCTTGGGTTGGAACATTTGATATAGGTGGCGATGGGCCCAGAATGTGCAAAAAATGGATTTCACTTAATTGTAGTTTTCCAATACTAAGTTTCTTGCATCAATGCACCAATTTGCATTCTTTGTGAGAAGTTAATTGTAGTTCATATATACTTTGATATATATTACTCATATATGCAGTTTTTCTTTTCGCAAATTACTTTTTGCAAATTATTTCTCCTATAATGTGTTTTTTGTGTTTACTGTCCTCTGATACGTGTGTCTGCATACTCATATTTTGAGTAGCAAACTGAAACACAATATAGCAGATACAGCATTGCTAAACAACAGGTGTTCCAGGTGTTATGAAACTACAATTCCCAGCATTCCTCTGCATTGTTTATATTAGGAGCTGTAGTTCAGCAACTTCCAGTGCACAGATCCAAGAAATACACATTAGATAAGTTCTCCTTAAATTATGTACTCAGTAGATTTTTACCCCAGCCATAGATGTCCCAATTACTGTTGGTTTTGTAAACTAGTCATACAGATTTGCTAACCGCGGGATATTGTAGAACCTTGCAAGAATAGCAGAACGCTGTATTATTTATTTATTTGTCACATTTATATCCCACCTTTCATCCAGGGGTTCAAGGTTGAGCTCACATCAAAAGGAGGGAGTTTAGGTTGTGAGCATTTCTGCACATGAACCCAGGTCTCAGTGTATAGCTAATGTGCCACATTGCTTTTTGCAAAAAGGATACACGCTGTTGCCATGATTAAATTGTGCATGTTGTGAACTCAGAATGTTGTACTTTTAGCACTCAAACGGACAAAGCTGTTCTAGGAATCACTGACCTGCTTCCTAGCACAAAAGGCAGCACTGGGATCTCAGTGAAAGCTGTGCACTTTCATACCAACTTCCGTGGTTTTCCTCCCACAGATGATATCAGTCTGTTAGAACTGGAGATCCCCATTCAGACAGGTACTATAACGGGGGAAATAACTTTCTTGGTTCAAGTCCTTTATCTACAATTTCTATGCAAAGAAGTTTGACCTGGAAAGCAGCTGATCCAGAGTTGCTAAGTTAAAGAAACCTTACAGACCAGGATGTAACCAAGCCAAAGCTCTTGTAACAATGGCTTGTTCAGAGTACTAAAATAGTAGTATTGAGCCCCATTGATTTGTATCTCCTGTGAACTGGCTTCAATAAAAAGCCTTGCATGTAAATGGACAAGAAAGGGCTCTCTAGGCTGTGCAAATGCTGTTTTGCAGATGATTCATATCAAGCTGAAGTGGTCAAGAGAGTACAGTCATGTGTGAATCTTTCATTATCTGCCTAAATAGGAGAATAACGCCTCCTATGATTGGGATCAGATAGTATAGAGGAATTTAGAGCTGGCTTTGGGGATAGGGAATGAATGAATGAGCCATTAAGAGGGGACTGGCAGAAAAGATTACATGGTTCTCAGAAAGAGGGAAGCGTGAGAAACAAACTCAAAATGAGCCGGGCTTGATTTTATTGGTTTAAGATGGGATAGAGAGAAACTTGGACAGACTTTCAAGATTTGGTTATTTTAACTTACAACAATAAAGAGCATTCCTGGAATCCCTGCTGTACCTGTTTCTTAATCTGGCCTACTTTGGAGGGCTGACATCCATCTTGAAATCTCTGAATTCCTTTACCAGAAGACACTATAACCTAATGATGCTTTATTTTCTTCTTAGGAGACACCATAGCACGTATCTATTTGCCAGAACAGGGGGAGAAAATGGCCACTGATGCAAAGTGCTTGACTGCAGGATGGGACATAACAGGTGAGGATGATTGGTACTGTATAGCCAGTGTTATGTTTCTGAAAGTACACATTTATGACAAATGGCTATGCACTGCCACAAATGAGTATTGAAACAAAATACTGCGATATGGGAAGCTGGCATTCAGGATGCCCACAAGTACATTCTGTTCTCTTCTGTTCTTCGTTTCTCATTCTCCCTCCCCCCTCCCATAATGTAATGGTATATGGGAATGACCTTGGGAGACGGGAAAAAGCTGCAGCCAGGGGAATGGTTGGATAAGAGGCAGCTTAGCCTGCAAAAGGAACATGGGCATGGCAAACATCTTAGAAGATATCCTCTCTAGTTTCTTGGGCTGTAAAGGAGGCGGTGGGGGAGAGATGTACTTTCATACTTGCAAGTTTCTGTTAATGTAACCTTATAATTAAGTAGAATTAGTCCATCTGGTCGTGCTTCCTGTCTGGACTACCTTGCTAGGCTGACACTAGGCACAAGGTCCTCACTGGATTCCTTTTTATTTGGGATATTTGAATCCTGTCCTGCTGGATTGATTGATTATGTACCATCAAGTCAGTGATGGCTCTTAGTGACCACATAGATTTCTTCCATGACAATCTGTCCCTAACCTGGTCCTTCAGCTCTTCCAATGGCGCCTCCATCACCACTGTAACAGAGTCCATCCACCTTGCAACTAGTCATCCTCTTCTTCTCTTTCCTTCCACTTTCCCCAGCATTACAGCCTTCTTCAGAAAGCTAGGTCCCTGGTGGGTTAGCACTTTGTTTAAATTCTTTTGTCCCTTAAGAAAAGCTTGTGTTTTCAGCTGCATATGCTGGTACACCTTGAGCATTATAGGTATCATTTTGCTCCTATTAGCAACAGTATATGAAGTCTGCACATCAGAAATCAAGGACACAATTGTGTAAGGGATCAGTTCAGGCCATCAGCAAGAGAAAGTTCTCTCTTCCTTGTAACATGCCATTTGGGAGAGAGCTAAATTACACAAAGAAAAAGAGGAAGGTCAGAGAGGAAAGAAGAAAGGATGGCTATCCATCTACTCCTTGTTTTAGTTCCATCTACCATTCTGAATAGGTTCTCCTGGGGGAATACAGTTCTCAATAGGAAAAATAAAGGGAACCCCCACCCCTAAGTAAACTGACAAAAAGCTTCATAAGATTGTGTATGGAAATGTGTGCGCCTAAACCTTCTGGGAGGATTGTTTTCTTGGAACGTGCATTTAGGATCTTTGTTTTGGTGACTCATATTCTTATTTTCACTAGCAGACTCTAAGTTGTACCTGGGCTGTAAGGAACTATTTGATAAAAACAATTTCCTAAGTCTTTTTCCACAGTTGCATGTATCAAACATCTTCCTTTGTTTTCCATCTAAAGGGTCAGTTTTCCATAAGACTGCAGCAAACACAAATATCACTCCTCACAAATGATGCCTGTGCCAGATAGTGGGGTGAAGAGATTAAAAACAATAAACATGTGGAGGTGTTACAGGGATAACTTCATCTGCCGTATGTAACTGGTGTGGGATGTTGTCATTAAATGGGAGAACTGTAACCTTGCATTTGTGATCAGTTAACTGCAGAGGCTTCAATCATACTGGTTGCATTTTTAATGCTATCAGTAATATCAGTGTTTCTCAACCTTGGCAACTTTAAGATGTGTGGACTTCAACTCCCAGAATTCCCCAGCCAGCACAATCATTAGTCAATACCAGTTCTGGTTGTAACTGAGGAGCATTTGATCCATTTATATTCCACATTAGGTATTTAAAATCCATATTTATACCAAAAACTTAGAAAAGTCAATACCTGTAGTGCTTAATGTGGTAGTCTCCTCTTCAGTTTCTTGTGTCTGTTGCTTATGGCCCTTTGTCACTTCCATTTGTATTTCTTCCAATTCCCCTTTAAACATTCCTAGAAATTCTCTTGCTTTTTGGACTGAGTTCAGTCTGAACTCTGTTGTTTAAAAGTGAAGATCACTCCTTCCAATTTATCCTATCAAAATGGTATCTTTTTCTGTTTGAATTTGTCAGTAAAAAAAGTACTCTTTTCATTTGTGCAATATTCTAACTGGAATTTCTTTAAGTACAATCACATCTGCATTTTTAATCTACAGTCTGGTAGTAAAATCCTGCTGCAACACTTGATCTCTGGTCTTCTTTCTGATAAAGTGCACAAAAATATCCCTTGGTACATTTCTGAATTTTGCAACCGCATATTGATTCTATAGACTTTGTCAATTTCTACTTCCATATCATTTTCATCCCATTTCAGAAAGTTTGCTAAAGGTTGTACAACTTTTTTTCTGGTGTCTTCTCCAGGATCCTCTGGAACTGTTCTGAGTTCAAGCAGAATTCTTTTTTTCTCAATTCCAGTAACGCCAGATTGTCTAAGTCCTTTTCCATATCTCTATTTATTATTTCTGTTTTACTTTCTAAAATTTCCACTTTGTCATTGTTTAACTTCTCCTATACGTTGCCCTGTAGAATCTTTTTTTTGTAACGTCTTTTTTCATCTCCTCTTTCATCTTTACAAATTTCTTTCATTCTCACCTCAAAAGTAACCAACTCAGTTTTAATAGATTTGACAGATTCAGATCTGCTTTCCCATCTCTTAAAAAAAAAATTTGTAATATTTCTGGAGTAATTCCCTTTTCTGTTGGTTGTTCTGATGACCTTCTTCTTCCCTCACCAGGCTTTTCTGGTGGTCACCATTCTTTTATTTATAATCCAGAAGTAAATGTAAGTAAATTACAAAGATGAAAATAAAAGGCAGGCTACTTCATTTCCCCCCACCCCCCTTTTGCCTTCTCTATACCCTTAAGGTTTTAGTCCAATCTGTCTTTCCATAGTTTTAATGACGCAGTCTGTCGTCTCCTGTTACACTTATCTCCTTATTTTGTAAATTCCACTAATTATCGTTTCCCTTTGATGTCAGACAATCAACATTCCCAGGAAAGTCTGGTTTGTTTATTTAATTAATTCCAAATAATGCCAAAAACACTTTCGCCAAAATATTAATCTTTCAAATTTATACAATCCCCTTTATCCATTTATATCTTTCTTGGTCAAAATCTCATTAAGCTATTTGCTGTTGTTTTAAAGTCTTTTAAAAGTATTATTTCCTCTTTGTTTTACTTTCTGTAATTCAGAAAGAAGTCTAACTCACCCAGAGGCTGTTTTCTTTGTCCCACTGTTTTCGAAGACTTTTCAACTTTTCAACTGTAAATTGATTATATCCAAAAGTGATAAAGAAAGTGAGGGTTTAAAGGAACTTAGTGTCCTTTAAAAGGCTGCGCTTGCATGTGTGAGCAAGCTGTTTCTCCCTTGACCCCCTGCCGATCTACTCATGAGAAAACCACAAGACTTCCATCCCATGGTCTCCTTAAGAGGAGCAGCAGTCCAAGGTGCAGGTGGGCAATCTCTCAGTCTCTCCTTTATCTAGAAAGACTTTGTTGGCCAGAAATCACCACCAGCTGCTGTTCACTTCCAAAGTGCCATCTCTGCTCCTTTGGAGACATCTGGTCTACCATAGAACTTCATCCAGAAGCACTGGGTTGTCCTTGAAGACTACTGAATTTCTGTAAGGCCTTAAAAACTTGGCTCTTTCCCCAGACATTGGGCCAGGTTGTTGGAAGAGCCCATCTTACAAGGGTTGGGAATGTGTGCTTAGCCTTGGGTGTACTATGTTCTTTGCTATTTTTATTTTTGTTGGGTTTTTTTTTTTCTGTTTTAAGCTTATGTTACCCTCCTCCTGCCCCTGGTTGCAATTTGGGAGGTGGGTAGCCATATAAATTGATTAAATAAATTTAAAAATCCCAGACTATAAATGATCTTTATCAAATGAAGAGTATTTTCTTTATGCCACAGTCATAGCTTTCAATGGGAATTAGCTATTGACTTCCTCTTTGGAACAGTGTTCTTGTACGGACTGAGTACCAGCAAGATGATGCTGAAATATTATGTGGGCACAACACAGGTACTAATTTGATAATTGCCCTGATTACTTTCCTTGATGTAGGAATGTACATGATAAATGTGTCGTGGTTAAAGATCTGCTGACAGGTGTTATAACTTTTTTCTAAACATAGAGGCTGTGAGGGAATGGTTGGATGAAGGACGCGCTCGAGGAGATAAGCATTCCCACGCTCCTGTTGAGGGCTAAGGGAAGGCTCCTCAAGCGCAGCCTTCATCCAGCCATTCCTTCACAGAGGCCATAAAAATGGATCTGATGCAAATAACTTAAAAGATTTCCAGAGAACTGCCTTGCTTAAGAATCTGACTTAGGAAAGGTTTCCCTGAAGCATTTCACCTGCTGTTGAAAAAGAAGCAAAATATATACAATATAGAAGGCCACCCATGAGAAGAAATTCAGAAGAGTCCATCCCCATTCAAAAAGTGTGGGGTTATAAACCCATTGCAGCAATACCTAGCAGCTCACTACCCAACTCATCCATTTGGCATATGCCCAACTGTGTGTGTGTGCACACATGTACAGAGATCCTCTGATAGAGCCTGCACAAGTGTATGAAGAACCCCATCAATGCTGGCTAAGTACATAGAGAAAAAGTAATTGTGCTGTGCATATTGGTGCCAAACAGACCTTACAAGTTTAATAAAATGACCAAAAGACTTGCAATCTATCATTTTTCGTAAAGATGTCACATGCCAAAATAGCAGTGTATAAAGCATAGTGTGTGAATTTCCATTAGTTTACTTGCATTTGGTACCACACAGGTTAATATATATATATATATGCATTTAGCTAGGATTTAACATGATGCTAAATAGCTAGTTTTATGCAGAGATTCTAGCAATTTTCTTGGGTCAAATATGGAAACTAACCAAGAGCTCTTAGAATCCATCTCAAATTGAGAGGCGAGCTTTACAAGACCCTGAATTCTCCTCCAGCTCACACTGAAAGCTCCTGAAGAATTCCCAGTCCTCCCCATCCTGCACATCTTTGCTATTCTTTCCAATCTCCAAATGTTGCCTGACCACCCCATTCCCTTCAACTGGTAGATATGCAGGAGCAGCAACCGCAATGATTGGTTGACAAGCAAAAAATGGGAAGAGGTTTTTTCCCTTCCTTGTCACTGTTGCCCTGCGAGTTTAGCCTGAGTGAGGAAGGTTATGGGAAATAAAGTTTTCCAAAGACTCCTGCAAGGAAAAATAAATTACTTGAAGATAACCACTCTGGGTTGCAGAATTTGTGAATTAGCTCTGCTCAATTCTGCAAAATATTTCTTTAATGTCCAGTCTCAAAACCCAAATTAAGAATAAATAATCTGTCTCCTCCATTCAGAAATCAGATACCTTTCAGTTAAAGGAAGGCCCAGTTAACAATGAGATTCTTCATTTTAGCAGAGGTTAAAGTGGGGTCTGGAAGCACCCTCTCTAATGCTGTTTCAGAGAATTCCAAGTCCTTCAAATCTCCAGAGAGAAGTCTTTCTAGTTTGATCCCATCATCTCAAAGTGATAGGGAACATCTTAGAAAGAATTCAGGAATGGAATCAGGTGAACCACAACCAAGTATCTGAAAGTTCTCATGGAACTGTGCTGCAAAACATCCACCCATTAGCGTCCTGCCTTCTGTACAAAAGAGGTGATCTGTCCGTGTGGCTATGTCATCTTTGAAGTTGCTTTTTGGATACTAATGAAACCGTAGACGACTTCTGTTTGGCATTTTTCAGTGCACCAAGCAGTTGCAGAGAGGTAGACTGCAACAGCTGTTTCTTTACAGCTTTCCCTTTACCCATCAACTCTCGCATTTTCTGCATCATCTGCTGCACTCGACTATCCCGCAGCCGTAAGAAGAAGTTCTCAAATTTTGCAGTAGTCGGTGAGTTCATTTGTAAGAAGTTCTCCACTTTTGCAGTAGTTGGTGAGTTCATTTGTAAGAAGTTCTCCACTTTTGCAGTAGTTGGTGAGTTCGCTTGGGGTTCAGGAATCTTTTTCTTTTGCCAGATATTAGCAGGCCCTGCTATAATCGGTAGCAGAGGGGAGACGGCAATTGCACCCTGGAGTTTCGGCTTCCTAGGACCGAAGCCAGAAGGAAGAACAAAAAGCTGCATGATAGGGGTGGGCTGCAGGGGATACTGTCCAAGAACAGCAGAGATTGGGACAACAGGCCAATGAGCAACATTGCTAGGAGGGGATAAATGAGCAGGTGTTTTAGGGGTGGCAGGCTTGGTCAATAGAATGGATATTTTGGAAGCAGTAGAAGATGAGGAGAAAGGGAGAACAGAACAGGGTTGATTAGTAGATGTGGCTGTGGGAGTGACAATGATGATGGAACTAGAAGGTGCTGAAGTTGGGCTACTGGCTGGGGCAACAGTAGTGGCAGGGTTTGTGGGAATAGATGGTGTTGCCACTTCACTGGTGGCAGGCTCAGATGAAGATACTGGGACAACTGATACAGAAATACTTGGGGTGGCAGTCATAACATTGGAGGTGGAAGGAAGTGTAGGTACAGGGCTTGGAGAAGGCTCAGTAGCCAAAAAGCTAAGGTGCTGGGAAAAGGCCTCATCCATCATTGTGGGAGTGGTACTCGTAGATGATATTGCCGCTTCAGTGGTGGCAGGCTCAGATGAAGATACTGGGACAACTGATACAGAAATACTTGGGGTGGCAGTCATAACATTGGAGGTGGAAGGAAGTGTAGGTACAGGGCTTGGAGAAGGCTCAGTAGCCAAAAAGGTAAGGTGCTGGGAAAAGGACTCATCCATCATTGTGGGAGTGGTACTCGTAGATGATATTGCCGCTTCAGTGGTGGCAGGCTCAGATGGGGATACTGGGACAACTGATACAGAAATAACTGGGGCGGCAGTCATAGCACTGGAGGTGGAAGGAAGTGTAGGGACAGGGCTTGGAGAGGGCACAGCAGTCAAAAAAGTAAGGTGCTGGGAAAAGGACATATCCGTTGTTGTAGGAGTAGTACCAGTGGTGGTAAATAATTCAGGAAAACTCTGCTCGGCTATCACTGCATCAAGGCCGGTGAGAAGCTCAAGCAAGGATTCTGAGTCAGTTGTGATAGGAGTAGAAGACGTGGGATCCAGAGGTTCCATAGAGGCAGTAACAGCAGAAATAACAGTGGGAAGTTCAGGAACGGTTCCAGTGGCAGTGGCTGGAAGAGTCGTCGTCATGGCTTCTGTTGCTGCTGTGGGAGTGTTTGATGCCGAGGTGACAGGTGCAGGAGGTGTTTCGGTGGTAGAGAGAGTGGTGGGGAGAATGCTGATAAGCAGTGTCTCTTGTAGGGTAGATGATGATTCAGTGTCTCCAGGTTCTTGGTTGGTGTTTTGTGTTGTTGCAGGGGCTTCATTGATCTTATCTGGACATTGAATCCGCTACAGAGGAAAAAAACGCAAAGCAGAAATCACACCTTTGGGCTGTTAAGGTTTTGCTAAGCTACGGTCCCTCTGATTTTCTTCTGCATGAGAAAAGACTGCTCTGGGACATCTCTAGAGGGGTTCTAAAGTGCTTTGTCCAGAAATGTCAAGTGCTTCTGATTGTGCTCTCATTTCTTTATTGACTTCTTGCTTTCAAGCATTTCCCTTTCTCCACTCATGAAGCAAACCGTAAGTGATTCAGGTCCCCGCCAGTTTCCTATCCCTTTAACAACTGAAAGGCAGGAACTCACGAGGCACAGGTTTTGTCAGCCTAGGGATCCAGGGGTGGAGGACACTTTCCTGACTGAACTATGTAGCTTTGCAAAACAGAGGACTTCTGCCATGGATAAAATGTAGAGCCTGGAACTGTCCCCAAGGGGAATGACCAAGACATGTTGGGGCCTGCAGCACTTCCTCTTGGTCTTTGTTCTTTTCTGTTTTTAAAAACATTTTTCTGCTTTTTGGAGTCAGATTAGGTATGGTAATAATCTCATTAGCCTTTGTGCAATAGTAATGTTCGAAAAAAGGGAGTAATGTATTTCAAGAGGAAAACTTCTATTAGTACCAGTAAAAGCTTTCTTTCCAATGTAAACTGCAGATGCAGGACAGCTGGTAGATGTGTACATGTGCGCGCGTGTGTGCACACATGTAAGATCATAACAATGGCTTTATTTATTGTATTTATATAGCTGCCCATCTCACATAAAGTGATGCTGGATTAAAGAAAGTCGCTACTTATTTTTCTAAAATTAATGCCAAAGTGAATGCCATAATCAATTTCACCTCTAGCATTCTCCTTAATGGCATCCCATTATTTATCCTCAAGGCAGGTATCTTACTTGACTTGATAATATGGCTGACCTGACCCCTTGCTTGGCAATCCTTTCCTGTACTTCTTCCCTTCTCTCTCATAAAAAAATCGGATTTCCTTGAACCCTTGTCATTCAGAAAGCCATTATTTATTAGCAAGTGCCCTTGGTAATAAATGGGCACTTGGACTCATTCCCCATGAGCAGAAAGTGATGCTTGTGCATAGCATGGAGAGAATCACCTTGGGAGCCAGTGATGCAGAAACTGGCATCTCCTCCTGACTGCAAATGTGATGACGCCATGGGGAAACACTGTTGTTCAGCATATATTCTGCACACACAAAGTTATAAGCTTAGTTTCTGACATTTTTCAGGAGATCCTAGACTAAGCTTCTCCACATTGGTGATTCCAAAGGAGCAGAGAGTACAATGGTCAGTGATGATGCTGATCCAGAATTCTGAGACATAAGTGCCGCTACTCATGTAGAGGCAGAGAGAGCATCTGGGCACCCTCCAGATATATGGTTTTCAACAACAGAATGGTCAGTGCTGAGAATTCTGGGAGCTGAGGTCCATGCATCCAGAGTGACTGTAATGGTATATGGGAATGACCTTGGGAGACAGGGGAAGAGCTGCAGCCAGGGGAACAGTTGGATAAGAGGCAGCTTAGCCCACAGCAGGAATGTGGGCATGGCAAACATCTCAGAAGGAACCCTCCCTAGTTTCTTGGGCTGTAAACATGATGGGGGAGACAGTTGGATAAGAGGCAGCTTAGCCCACAGCAGGAATGTGGGCATGGCAAACATCTCAGAAGGAACCCTCCCTAGTTTCTTGGGCTGTAAACATGATGGGGGAGACAGTTGGATAAGAGGCAGCTTAGCCCACAGCAGGAATGTGGGCATGGCAAACATCTCAGAAGGAACCCTCCCTAGTTTCTTGGGCTGTAAACATGATGGGGGAGAAATGTACTTTCAGGCTTGCAAGATTCTATTAATGTGTGCTTCATTTAGGTGGTGTTCTTGTTTGGACCACCTCGCAAGGCTGACAGTGGTCCAAGTTTAGTAAACAATACTGGATCAGAATAGATAAATATCAGTAAAACAATTTCCTGTATTCCTATTCTAATAGTATAATTCTTTATCCAGGATCAGAGGAATACTGGAGATATATTAGAACTCTGAGATACCTAGACCATTTTGGTGGAATGGGGTGGTGAGAATTTTCAGCTCCTGCCATAAAGAGTGTTAGATTGCAAGGTCACGCCCACTAAAAAATAGACTAGACAAGTGTAGGATGGTGAGGCTGAAACATGGGGATGAGTGAGAAGTAGATGGAGTCTTATCACCCATGCTATGCAGCTGATGGAGGAGTTGGAGCGCTGGATACAGATGGCTAAGGTCTCAGTCTAGATACCCTACTCACCCACATAACTAGACTGACCATCTTGGAAGTAAAACAAATAAATGCATTGAAAATCCTATTTACTCAATGAGCAAATGTTCTCAATAAGGCCTAGCTGCTTCCATTCCCTTTTCTGTTGCTATTCCTGTGCTGGACCTTATCTTTTCCCTTCAGTGAATCTTTCTGCCCATTCTAGTTCTAACACTAAAAGTGCTTTCTATGCAGATTACTGGAAAGAAATGCCTCAGATCAACAAACACATGCTTGTTCCTTTTCCTTACCTTCACAAAATACTTCTTCAAGGTGCAGCGATAAAAAGTGAGGGTGCAGAAGTCTGGAAAAGTGGGCATTTCTGCCAAGTCAGAACATACAGGCCCTAGGAAAGAAGCAGAGGGTTAGAGAAAACTTACCAAGGCCTTCAGGTTACTTCCATTAATTTTCACTGAGCCCCAGTATATACCACAATAAACACTGTTGTACCATTATAGTCTCTGCCAGCTTTTGAGAATTCAACTGAGTGGGCTTTGGTTTCCCTCCAACTTCTGGGTTACCAAATATTAAAGCAATTCCATGACGTCCTGCCAGGTTGCAACTTCAACATCTGTGCTGGATTATTAAATATGCAACTGGCTTCTTCAAGCTGTGAAAAATTGTGTTGAAGGAACACTTATCCAGATCTTTTGGAAAGAAGCCATTGGAAAGTTCTTGGCACTTTATAACATTTGATTTCTTTACAAATACAGTGGAGGCACAGCTTTTTTTTCAGATCAGCTTGGTCCTTCAGGGGAACATCAAAGGCCACTCTCTACTTTTGTTTAGGCCTAAACAAAACCTATATTTTATTTAATTTGAATTACAATAAACATACATTAGTTAATTCAGTTATGAATGAGTGTGTATACCTAACACTCTTGTACTTATTAATTTTCCCCTTCTGACACTTTAAATTTCCTAGGAATTATATGTGTGAGGCTTTGAGAGTTTCAGAAGGCATGCAACCCTGCTGGCATTTTCGCAGAATCCCCCACACCATTCTATCATCTTTCCCAGAGCCCAAATTTGTTCATTTGTTTGTTTGATTTAGGAGCTGCCTGACTCCAGACTGACTCTGGACAGCTCACAATATAAGCAATATAAAAATAACAGTCTACATAACAGTAAGCAGATGACAAACTCAATAAAACAAACATCATACAGCAACAAGAGCTCCAACCACCCTACCCCAAGGCCTGGGAGAACAGCCAGATCTTTAAGTCCCTCCAAAATGCCATCAAGGTTGGCCTCTTACTCAAAAGTCAATCTGCCTTTTGTTTTCTTTTGCATTCGTCCTGTGACCATAGACAACCTGCATGAGACATAAGGATGAACCCTATTCTGCCTTATTTGCTCTCTTTGGGGACTCCTGGCAGTAATTGTGCTGTTCACTTAAGTGAAGGACTAGAGTAACAGTTTTGACCTCTTACAGCTAAGAGATTCTAAGCTGAAGAAAGCCTTTTGAGGTCAATCTAGTCCAATCCTCTTCCTCCAATCTTACAAAGATATCTTACTTTAACCATAAAACAGTGGATATTGTTGCTAGCTGACTGTGTCAGCAAACCTTTAAAATAACTTAGCTAATGGTGATTATCCTTCCTCCCCACAGATCATTCCCTTTCCTGTCTGTAGTTAGTAGGGTGAAAGATCCACTGTATAGTATATAGGGCATAAATAGGCTCTACTTTACTATTATCTGTATAGATAAATTTTAAAGATACATTGCAAATCTCTAGTTTGCATTC